GGGGTGCTTAACCTGAGAGTTTGAATAGGGGTTTGGCAGTGGAAATGACAAGAGGGTTTGGTTTTTAGATTGCATTTGCCTTGAAATGTGTCTGTGAGCCTTGAGGGTGGGGTTGAGGGCTGCCATTTCCTCATTCTGCTTTGAGAGAAGGTTTTGCTCACTGTCTCTTCCAGCTTTCCTTCAGTTTTTCTAGAATTCCCTCTTTTATTTATTTATTTGGCTGGGCCATGTCTTAGTTACAGCATGCGAGTTCTTTAGTTGTGATACGCAAACTCTTAGTTACAGCATGTGGAATCTAGTTCCCTGATGAGGGATCGAACTTGGGCCACCTGTATTGGAAGCGTGGAGTCTTAGCCACTGGACCACCAGTGAGGTCCCATCTTTTATACACTGCCTGGTCACACTCTTTGATGCCATTTCACAGGTGATGAGGCCAAAGAACAACAGAGGTGTGGGAGTCCCACATGTGAGTATACTGGTAACTCTTGGGCCAGGAGCTCGTCTCTTATTTTGAGGACTACTCAGGGCTTCTACATAAACCTTGAACTTGTCTCCCAGATGTTAGGGGCTCGAGAGCCCATTACCAGTGCTGGCAATCTGGAACTCTGAGCTTTAATTTGTAACAGCCAGAGGCAGGGAGAAGCAATGGCTTTGTGACTCATGAAGTCACATAGGCAGAACCACAAATAAGGGACTCGTTGGCAAAGACCAAATTGCTTCAAGGCTATTCTTAGAAACTAAAGCATCATGTCTTGTTTCTTCCCAGAAAAATGCAGAAACCTTTCATATTTCTGAGTAGTTCATTTATTTATATTTCATACCAAACTCCAAAAAGGCAACAACTGGGTAGTGATTGACAAGGAAGGCTAACAAGGGCTATTACCCAGGATCCTCTGGCTTAACTAATCCTGACCTTCTTCTCTGGCAGAAAGAGAAGGGTATCCAGCAAAATACTACACTCCAGTTTCTGCAAACTCAGACTCAAACTTATGGAAGTCCTTCTAAGTCAGCCTTTCTAGTTCATTCACAAAACTACCTTGTACCATGGATGTTTTCAATTCATCATTCAAACTTCTTCATGTGGGAACTTAAAATTTAGAAGGGGAGTTAGTTGTCCAAGGTTACACAGCTAGGAAGTGGATTTGAAACCAGATCTTCTGTATTGAAAGTCCATGGCCTCTAATTGTAAAGCATATATAATTGTTTGACCTGGGAAGCTAGTACTGCTGCTTCTGCTGCTAAGTCACATCAGTTGTGTCTGACTCTGTGCGACCTCATAGATGGCAGCCCACCAGGCTCCCCCATCCCTGGGATTCTCCAGGCAAGAACACTGGGGTGGGTTGCCATTTCCCTCTCCAATGCATGAAAGTGAAAAGTGAAAGTGAAGTTGCTCAGTCATGTCTGACTCTTAGCGACCCCATGGACTGCAGCCTACCAGGCTTCTCCATCCATGGGATTTTCCAGGCAAGAGTACTGGAGTGGGGTGCCATTGCCTTCTCCGGAAGCTAGTACTAGTGGTTATCAATTATATTCTCTTCATTTTGGTATGATGGTGTTTGAGTCATTTGATGAATGGCTCACACCACAAGTGGTGGTCATCAGGGAGTCACAGGTGCCAAATACATTACACATGATTGAATTTATTCCTTATCACCCTATGACTTGAGTATCAGTATCCCCATTGAGCAGATGAGAAAGCAGGCTGAGAAACTAGATAAGCTTCAAAGGGTCCTGTGGCTAGTGAGTGCCTGAGACCAGACCCACACCTGGGTTTGCCAGACTCCATGTATATCCAGATGCTCTTCTGTGAGGAGACCTACTCCTAGGGGGTGTCAGTAATTCCTAAGATCTCTGACTTAAACTAGAAAATGATTTTAAAGGCTGAAACTAGACTCTCTAGATGCAGGGCGGCAGGGCCGAGGCTGGCACAGGCTGCGGGGGCACAGCCCCGGGCAGGGCTTATCTCCTCCTGTCCAGTCATCTCCCTCCACCTCCTCGTATCTCCCTCCAGATAGGAGCTAGTTCCTGCAGCTCTCACGCCCACCCACGGCCCTCAACACCACTCTGGCTCTTTCCCTTGGAGCTGTAAAATTAAGTTGTTCACTTTTCTTTCGGAGGAGGAGAGGAGGCAGCTGGCATTAGGAAGAGGCAGTTTCTTCCAGTTTATAAATTATTCTGAGAATTGGGTCTAGCTTGATAACTCAGAACAGTTCACCATTTTAGACAGGGAGGAGAGGGAGAGTGACTTGGAGAATTGATTTTCAAAGTTGTTTTTTCAAACTGGGGCATTCCCCAGATTCAGATCAGCTGCAGGTGATGGCTTCAGCATACATCTTCACATCTACCCAGTGCCTCCTTGGGCCAGGTTCTGCCTTCACTCCCGTATCTCACCCTCCACAGCAGCTCTGCAGGCTCTCATACAAAAGGAACAGCTGGGGCTCAGAGTTTATGTGGTTTGTGTGAGGCCAGGTGGGCAGCGAGGGGCCAAGCTGAGCTTTGGATGTGGCTTTAAGAGCCCCAAAGCCTGTGGTTTTCCTCTCCACCACCTGCCCATCCCATACTACAGGATTCCGGTGGAATTCAAGTAGCTTTGCAGCTGTCAATTAGCTACTCCAGCCCTTCTTCAGTCCCTGGCATAGAAGTGATTCCAAAGATAGATAAAGACTGAGGATGTTAATATGCTCGGAAAAGCAGATAAGTCTTGTTCTCTGTTTATGCTCTCTGGGTGGTGAGTCCTGCTCAGGGGAAAAGCTGAGACATAGGAGGAGGCAAAGTTTATGTGAGTGATACCAATGTGAGCACTGCAGACACTAAAGGTTCTGACTGATCCACGTGGGAGAGAATCCATGTCTTTTCAGTCCCGGGTAGAGCACAGAGCCAGCTTTTGAAGTTGGTTGAATTTGTTGAGTTGAGGGGACCAGAGGACAGAGACCTGACTGCAGAATAGTTTGGCTGGGTCTGAAGCAGGGAATGTCCTGTTTTCCCTTCTGCTGAGTCTTGTGCCAGGCCTGTTGGGAGCTCTTGGAGAAAGAGGGACTGGAGGGAGGTGTCCTATGCTGTAGCCCGAGCCATTTCACCCATCAGTATCTGGGTTGTTGGAGAGCTTATCTGCCCCCAGCGAGCAGCCCCTCACAGGTGGCGCCCAGCCAGGCTCTGCGTAACATACATGTGTGTGCTTTCCTTCCCCCTGCCCTGCCAGTTTCTTTCCTCGTTGCGCCTGGGCAATCCTCAGCTGCCTCCTTCTCCAGTCCACCCCTGCCGTCTCATCTTCCCAAAGACTTATCTCACCCTGCTGCTCTGTCTGTGCCCCACGGCCCACTGGAGAAGCCCAGTCCCCTCTACAGTCTGCCCCCCGACACCTTGTCCTGATGAGGGACATCAGGACATCAGTCCTGAATTCCCAATGCCTTGAACTTGCTGTCATTCTGCAGCCATGCTGGCTCTTTCCAGATCCGTGCCTCTGTATGGTCCATTCCCAAGTCGTCTAGCGAAATCCACCTCATTCCTGAAATCACAGCTTTTTGGCATTTCCCTGTTGTGGCTCCTCTGGGCTTCTCCAGGCTCTGTTGAACATCTCCTCCTCTGGGCTTCCATGTGCTGTGTTCAGTTTTACAAGTGCTGGCCTGTTGTCTTGTAATCAACTATTTACGGGTCTGCCTTCCTTGTCAGTCCCTGTCTCTGTATCCTCCTCTAGCATCTAGGGTGATGTGTGGCCCTTGCTAAGGCACCAGTAGTTATTGCTTAATGAATGAGTAAAGGATTAAGGAAGAAGATAAACACCATCCTCTGCTTTTAGTTTTATAAGGCCAGCCCACAATTCAAGTGCACCCACAGTGGCGTTTCTGTCTGGAGAGTGGGAAGCTACCCAGCCCGAGGGCTTTGTCTCTGTTTGCTGACCTCCTCCTGCCAGGCCTCTGTCTGGGGGAGCTTGGTAAGCTCTGTCCTCTGTTTACAGACTCCCTCAAGCCCTGCTGACAGCAGGGCCAGCCCCAGCTCCTCCATGCTCGTTTTCTTGCACCAGCTTCAGATTCTGGAAAAATAGCTAGTGCTTTGGAAAATCAGTCTAATTTATTTTTGTTCCTTTGAAACTTAAATGACTTTCCTAAGAAAATGCCTGAGGTTAGAGTGGTGCAGAGAAGAAAGGATGATGGCCAAAACCCCGGCAAGCTATTTTTTTGATGTGAATGAGCCTCCATCACATTTTTCTTTCCTTTAGCACTTGTTCCAAATAGTTCCCAGCTTGGGCTTACAAAGCACAGACTCATTTTGTGCATCAGGAGGAGACCCACATGTCTCTCTGTCTTTCTGTGTGTCTCATTGAAATGGATGCTGTCCTTCTGGCAGACTTGAGAAGTTGCCATTTGTTGTCTGTATAAAGAGAAGATCTGCCCTCTGATAACTAACAAAGGAAGATGTAAAAGTGTGATGTCTAAAGATAGGTGGGATGGTGGTCATGAAATCTAGAGAGCTTTACTTTTTGGGAACTGTGCATTTGTGTCATGTGGTTAGGTTACATTAATATTAGTCAACCAGTTTATGGTACCAAGAATTATAGGTTTTCAGCAGTGTGAAATCTGGGTTTCTGGGTTTGTTTGTTTTCCTTTTGCTAGTTCCTACTTCCAGAACCGTCTGGCTTATGGCAAGATTGACCAGATAATGTTGACATCAGCCAGGGTATGTCTTTGGCAATCTATAGTTCTTTGCAGCCAGCCAGGGGAGTGGAGTGTCGGGGAGAGAGAGTGCCAGCAAGGCAGCATTGCCAGGTTAGATGGTATGATTATACCTCTCCTGTAGAGTATGTATGGTTGGTATTATGTTTAGTATGTTAGTATCTTAAAGGAATTATATTTTTACCTCTCTGCACTCTCTCCCCACCCTACTCTCATCCATGGAGCTCACCTCTGCCTCGATCTACCTTTGCAGGTGTGACGTTTCTCCAGGTACTTCATGGTGTTCTCCTCCCCCCTCTCCACATCACTGCTCTGCGTGGCTCCTGAAACATGGGGGAAAATGAGGATGAGAAGCAGACCCAGGCTGGGCAGATATTCGAGAACTTTGTCCAAGCTTCCACATGCAAAGGTACCCTTCAGGCCTTCAACATCCTCACCCGACACCTGGACCTAGACCCTCTGGACCACAGAAACTTTTATTCCAAGCTCAAGTCCAAGGTGACCACCTGGAAGGCCAAGGCCCTGTGGTACAAACTGGACAAGCGTGGGTCCCACAAAGAGTATAAGCGAGGAAAGTCTTGTATGAACACCAAGGTAAGGAAACCCCTGCATAGACGCTTCTTACCCTGTGGGGCATGTGGGTTGGCTTGTTGGGAGGTTAGGAACCTGTTGTCACTTTGCCATCGTAAGGTCCTTAGCAGGTGTGGTTGTGTTTTATTGTTTGACTCAGCTGAAGGTTACCTTTGTCTGTATATGCACAGCTTATCTTGGTTGGGGGCTTCTATCCTATCATGGTGGTCTCAGCAATTCTTCTTATGTGCTCTCTGGGGCACAGAAAATAAAGGTGTCAAACTGAAAAATATTCATAACCTAAAAGCTGAGAGCTATGCTTTATTTGGTATGGACTTGTAGGATGTTTCAGGAGACAGCAGCTCAAGTAGGAGAGAATTGCTCCAAGGAGGTGAGGAGAGGAGCCAGGTTATATGGAAGTTTTGCAACAAAGGGCAGATAGTCTGAACATCAAGATTATTTCTGAATAAAGCCAGATACCCCAAGTTAAGGAAATCAGTGCTCTTCGAAGATTCAAGGGTCTGCACTCACAGAAATCATTCCTTTGATAACGCACCTCAGCTATCTGGGGCCAGTGTCCTGTTTGTATATCCTGAATTCCTCAGGGCTCACTGTAGGGAGTGGCTGTAGCCCTATAGCTGCTTAGATGGCAGGTATTGGTCTCCTTTCTGAGTACCCCTAAGGCTCACCACCTGGCACTGGAGGGCTGCAGTTGAGGATGACTTGACACATCCTTGTTTATTGATATGGCACGAAATATTCCACTCATCAAAGGCATGCTTGATGTTATCCTGTTTCTGCTATTACTACTACCGCTACTTCTAGGAGCCATTATTTACCAAGTAGCTTCTCTGGGCCAGGCCCGTTCTGTATGAGGTCTAATTGAACAGTACGGCAGTCCTTTGGGTCACTTAAGAGATATGGAACCTGCAAAGTCAGTCTCACTTAAGGCCACACAACAAGAAGGCAACCTCAATCTCTCTGATTTTAGGGCTTATGCCCTGAAGTCCCTGGAGAGATATAATTACAGTTGTGCTCCTCTGGGAACAAACATTTGAGAAAGATCCCCTGACTTTAATTGGCTAAGAAATAGGTCTTTGGTATTTATTACCATTTCCTCCCTCTCTTTCTCTTCCTCTTCACATCTCTGCATTCTCCACCACCCCGTCCCCTTCCTCTGTTCAGGATCACATGTAGGTGACATTGGTGAACCTGTGCCTAGCACATCATGTCTCTGATAGCTCTGCATCGCCCATCCCCGAATGGGCAGCCAGAAGTCAAGACTTCCCTGGGGGCTGTCAGCCCTGGGCACTGGTCCAGGCTGTATGTTTAGGTTAAAAGCAATCATGCTGTATTTAGACCTCACAGGAGGTAGCTTGGCCAGAGCCCTTGGAATTCTAGTTGGTGCCAATCCTGGACAAGAGGATTGAACTCTCCATAGAGATCAGAACTGTTGTGTTTTTGTTTTGGTGATGCGGAGCTGTTGAGTCCACCGTGGGATACAGCCACTTTCCCTTGCCCTGGGGAAGACAGCTGCCAAGCTCCTCTGAGCCTGGGACATGCAGACTGGACAGGGTATAGGAGAGCATTTCGTCAGGCGAAGCAGCAGTCATTTTAGCCCAGAGCATACTAGATATCCAGGAAGGGCTTGACCATAACCTGCTAAGCTCCAGCCTGACCCAAGGAGAAGAAAGCTTTAAAGAAAGAAGCGGCGGGGACCAGTATCCTAAGTGCCATCCTCACCTAGCACCTCCTTTCTAGCTGTTGTAGTTTCATGGTTCATGGTTCACTGGGCAGCTCGTCAGAGTTCTAGGAGTGGGAAACTTTTCACTTACAAAGCATCACCCTTTTCAGTAACCATATATAGCAGTTTCCTTTTTCAAAGGTCCTATGGAAGTTAGGTGGCTAGAGTGCAATATGTTTTCTCAAGGAAGATTTTCAGAGCTCTTATTGTCAGAAAGCAATTAGAAAATGATTCAGCAATCAGACGCATCAGAAAATGCGTCACCCCGTATACCCAAACAGTTCCTAGCTGCTGGGGACTCTCTCGGGGATCTGAAGACAGACCTTCAGAGGGAGTTGGCCAGCAGAGAGAAGGAATGAAGGGGTGACCACCAGGAAGGTGTCCTTCCAAAAATCACTGGCTGGTTGCCTAGCTTGTCTGGCCAGCCCCTGTTTTACAAGTTTGATGGCTTTGAAATGGAGGAGTCTGTACATCTGGTGGCTGGCAGGTCATCAGTGATGTCTAAGATATTAAAACAAAGAGAAAGGACTCATGTCTTTCCTTAGTGATGCTGAGTAAGAGTGGTTCTCGTCCAGGAATTTTTACACCTTTCTCAGGAGGAGGAACAAAGACATCAAATGTGGCGGCCCATCTCATAAAAGCTACCTGTTTCCTGAGTTGTAGAAGGCCTGTTGGAAAATGCATTCAGTGTACAGAAAAAGAATTTAAACAAAATATTGCTGTTCTTCAGTTTTCTTTGTGGAATTTGAAATACTCAAATTTCAGATCAATTACTGGACTGTGGAAATAAAGAAAAACAGTTGTGACTATTAGGTGAATTTATTTGCACATTTTAGAAACTCAAACTAACCTAAACAAAACAGGGAGATGATTAACCCACATGAACAGGAACAGGAAGACACTCAAAGTCTTTCCCACCCTCTCTTCTTCCATCTAAATATCTCTTAGATATTTTGCTCTGTCTTGGCTCCATTCTTCCCTCCTGCAAACAAGTTTTCTCTATGTTTCTAGCCTCTTGTTCATATCTTGATAGCTCTGTGACTCAAAAGACCTTTGTCTTCCTGCTCAATATGGAAAATAAAATCTCAGGCAAGGATTTCAGTTAGCTCACCTTTGGGCCAGTTTTTGAGGCCAAAACCAAGGGAGCTGACCACTGTCTTTGACAGCCTTTTAAGCTTCACATGATTCACGTGAGGGGAGAAACAGGGCCCTAGGGATGGGAGGTGGGAGATAGACAAACACTAGGTGTCCTCTACATGATGAGCAACTGCTTGTTTGTACCCTAGGTATGGTCCAGGCCTCTGCATGTTGGATTCATGTGGGTAATGGTAGTGAAGGGTAATGTTCACTCTAAGAGCCTGGGTCTCCTGGTTGTGAGTCAAGCAGAACACAGAACATGGTCTTCCCTGTCTTCCAACATGAACAGACACTGTCTTGCTCACACATCTCACTTAGGTTTATCCCTTGGTGTAGTAGCTGATGCTGAGCTTTAACAAAACAATGAGTGATGGGCATTAGCATGCTTGTGGTTCATCATTAATGCTAAGCCATGTAACACAGATGTGTTAGGTACCAGGCATATAGCCAAACTCCTGCTTAGTCACAGGTAGAGTGGGAATGAATGAAATGCAGCCAGAACTCCCACCTTTGCCCTGATGTGGATGCATCTCAGCACCATATGGAGTGGATCTAGGCCTCAGTGATTCACAAGCACTAATCAGCCCCTACCAGGTGCTGTAAGCTCGTCATGCCAGCAGGAGTGTGTGTGTGTGTGTGTGTGCACGTGCGCATGTGTGTGTGCACATGCGTGCGCTAGTGGTGATGGCAGGGGAAGATTGGTGACCAGGGTCTGTTTGGAGAAGATGACCTCTGGTTCATATGCTGGGGATAGGGAGGAGGAACTGCAAGGTCCATAGAGCAGCAGTTTATGTGCCAGTTGCATAATCTAACTTGGGGTTATTGTTCATTATTGATTATTATTTATGAGGGTTTAGCCAAGCACTTAGTAATTCTTTCCCTGGGTGTGATCTGTTTGGATAAGAAATGAGCGAACCAAGGAGCAGGCCAAAGAAACTCTTTCAGGGCTGATTTTGACTGCGAATTAGGGTAGTACCCAGATCAAATGCCACATATGATTGTGCTTTTCCTGGGGAAGACAGCCCCTAAGAAAGTAAAATACATAATTTGGCCTGGGAGTTACTATCGCCACAAAGTCATTGAGTCTGGTCATTTATTTTATATATACTTTTAATGCTAGAAGGAAGTTGAAAGAATGTTGTATACAATCTCTGCATTTGACAGATGGCAAACCAGGAGGCCCAGGAAGCTGAAGCTGTTTGGTTGAAGTTAGTGGGTGGCATTGCCAGGGTTTGGAGTCTATTTATTGGATTGCTTGTATAGTGTTTTCTTTATTCATTCATTGGGTATTTCCTATACCCTACACCTTACTAGATGTTTGACAGAGGAGATGGTTTGAAAGAGTAGTAAGAAATGGTTCTCACTTGGGCTTTCTATAGAGGGGACAGAAATGTCATCATTTCTGTATTTACTTACTTATTTAATCATTTTTGAGGTAAATGATGATTAAGCAGCTACCATGTGCCAGGTACTTGTCTAGGCATCAGTCAGTCACTTAAGAGCTCTGTGTCTTTGGGCAACTTACCTAATTCCTTATTCTCAGTAGCAGCCTCTGTAAAGTGAGGATAATGATACTTCTTCCTTCATGGAGTTTTTGTGAACATTGAATAAGGTAATCTTTGAAAAGTGTTTAGAATGCTGCCTAGTACATGGTAGGTGATCAGCTAATGTTTAGCTGTTATTATTATTATTAATATCCTAAGTGATATGAGAGAGTTGTGTACTCTGTTCTGCAGGACTATAGAAGAGCAAGTGATTGGAGCAGTCTGGGAATGCTTCCTGGAAGAAGAGAAATAATTTGGGGTTTGACAGATGAGTAGGAGTTTGCCTGGCTTTATTGAAGGAAGAGCTCAAGGGAACATAAGGCAGAGAAACGTGTTCTGGGAAGTGAGTTGCTCATGTAATGGGAATGAAGATGCCCATGGGGAGAGGGAAGAGGAAGAGGAGAGCGTGAGAGCAGGATGCATGAATGGCAGACCAGAAGGCCTCCTGCGGCCAGGCTCAGACAGAGGACCTGGAGGATCATTGAGGATGTATCCCTGATCCCAGTCCAGGGTTTCTGCTTCCACCTTCCAGGGGGTGGCTTGGTAATCACAGGTAACCAGTTCAGACCAGGAGGCATTTGTACACCACTGCCATAAAA